TCAGGTCATGATCTCACAGTTCATGAGTTCAGGCCCCGTGTTGGCCTCTGTGCTGACCCTTGGAGCCTGGAGCCTGCTTTGGATTCTATGTCTCCCTCTCTCTCTGCCCCTCCCCTGCTTGTTCTCTCTCTCTCCCTTTCTCTTTCTCTCTCAAAAATAAATAAATATTAAAACTAAAACAAAACCCACCAAGCTAGCCTGGTTAATCCTGGTCCAGAAGTGCCACAAGGCAATGAACAAGTCCTTTGTTTTAGAACTCTAGAGCTGACAGATTCAGGAACAATGCACACACTTATTAACACTCTCCTCCAGTTTTTTTTTTTTCTTTAAAAAAATTTTTTTTAACGTTTATTTTTGAAGGAGAGAGAGACAGAGTGTGAGTGGGAGAGGGGCAGAGAGAGAGGGAAACATAGAATCTGAAGCAGGCTCCAGGCTGTGAGCTGGCAGCACAGAGCCCGACGTGGGACTCGAACTCACAAACCGCGAGATCATGACCTGAGCCAAAGTTGGACGCTTAACCAACTGAGCCACCCAGGCGCCCCTACTCTCCTCCAGTTCTAAAGACAGGCAACCAGCTACTGATTTCGGTGCTACTGTGCAGCACCCAGGGCCCCATCTCAGCCCTGCCACCCGGCCTTAGGCCACCTCAACGCTAAGAGTCCACTGGCAGGGACACAAAAAGGGTAAGACAGAGATCAAATGGTTTATTCAGTTTTAGTAATAAAAGGCTGATCTTAAACCAACCCATAGATACCTTATTGAGCACGTCTACCAGTTGCTGTAAAAAATCCATCAACTATTATGAAGCACGATCTCCAACAGTAGGGGGCGTCAAGACAGAAAGGAAGTAAGTATCAACCACAATATACTTAAGTAAACATCAGAAAAAAGTGGAAGGGACTGCAAATAACCATCGGAGGAGAAGGTTCAGGTTCAAGAGGGCACCACACGACCGGTCCGCGAAGGCTCTTCCTACCCTACATGCAGAGTTCTCCCGCCCAGGGGGCCAGAGGTCCACAGGGTGAAATCTCTCAGGTCAGAACTTCAGTCGGCACGCGTGTCCCCACAGACGGCACTCTCCACCCACATCGCTTTCCCAAGTCTGGTCACACCTCTTTATGCCAGCCTCCTCAAGACACTCCTCCCATCCCCAGGAAGGGCTGTCCTCTCTAAATGACCCTACGGGACCCTCCTCCCAAGGCCCTTGGTACCTCTGGCTTGCTGTCCACCACATCCACCTCGAGGGTGACTTCTGCTTGAAGGATTTTCTGCTTAGCCTGCTCCACGGCCGAGCTGAGCTTCTGTATGTAGGACTGCAGCTCTTCTGGGGAGTCCATGTTCAGCTCTATCAGAGCCTTGTGAAACTGATCCATCTGGCCATCCTCTAGAAGTTCCTGAAACCAGAGCGGTCACAATTCACTTCAAAGATGTCAGTGCGCTAACAGGAAGGACAGAGAAGTAGCTTAGAAGCCGAACAGAGAGAAACTACAGCAGGAGGGGGCTCCCAGAACGCTCGGAGCCTGCGCCTCCACAAAATCTCACCTCCCACCAGAGCTCCACACCCCACCCTCCTCCCCAGCTGTCTCTAGGCTGCATCGCGTCAGGGCCTCAGCACCACCTGATTCGGAAAAACTAATCTATGGTGACAGAGGTCAGAAATGTTACCTTTTGAGTGGGGTGGGAAGGTAACTGGCTAAGAGGGGACATGCTGGAGGTGCTCTGGGTGGCAGACACATGGTGTGTTCCACGCTGTGAAAATCCATCGAGCTATATACACACGCTTAAGACTTGTGCACTTTGTAGTATGTGTGCTACGTTTCAATCAAAAAGTTGTAAAACAGGATGCCTGCTTGGCCCAGTCAGTTAAGCATCCGACTCCTGATTTCAGGTCATGAGGTTGCGGGTTCACGAGTTCAAGCCCCGCATTGGGCCCCGTGCTGACGGCGTGGAGCCCGCCTGGGATTCTCAGTCTCCCTTTCTCTCTGTCCCTCCCCAACTCGCCTGCACATTCACGCGCGCTCTCTCTCTCTCCAAAAAATAAATAAACTTTAAAAAGAAGTTATGAAACAAAGGAGATTATAAGGCCAAAGTAAATGAGTGAGGCCAAGTCCAGAGACACCTGCTGCTGTGTACCGGGTACAGGCCCCCCATGCTGAGCCTACACCGGAGCCCCTCGCGGGACCCGCCAGCACCTGCACGCAGAGCAGTCTGTCCAGCCGCTCCTGGTCCAGCTGTAGCTTCTCCTCCCGCCGGCGGGCATTGAGCTCCTGCAGGCGCCGCAGCTGCTGCTGCCGCCGTTCCTGCTTCTCCTCGGAGCTCAGAGTGCTGCCCAGGAGCTTGTTGGAAAACGGGAGCTGCATCTTGTGGACGTTGTTCTCGTAATAATCAGGGCACCGCCATTTCTGCAGTTCTTCGGAGAAATCATTTTGAAGTTATGAAATGGAAACAGTATTAGCAGAGAAATCAGAAAGGCGATACCAGGGTTCTGGATCCGGGGAAGATGGAGAAGGCACAATCCACCCAATTTCTGAATCCACCCGGTCAACAAAATGCAGCTGTAACACCTGAACATAAGGCCCACCGATCCTTCTCAAAGAACTGTCGAGTAAAGGGGGAGCCTGGGTGGCTCAGTCGGTTAAGTGGCTGACTTTGGCTCAGGTCACGATCTTGCAGTTGGTGAGTTCGAGCCCCACGTCGGGCTCTGTGCTGACAGCTCAGAGCCTGGAGCCTGGTTGGGATCCTGTGTCTCCCTCTCTCTCTGACACTCCCCCTCCCGCACTCACACTCTGTGTCTGTCTCAAAAATAAATACACATTAAAAAAAAAAAAAAAGAACTGTCGAATAAAGTTCGCCAGACAGAAATGACACCAGAAGGAAATTCAGAACATTGGGAATGAAGGAAGAGCAATAGAAAGGACAAAAATCTGGTTCAACATGATAGGCTAACCTCCTCCTGAGTTCTTTAAAGTATGTTTGACAATTCCAAGTAAAAAACCATCACAGGTCCGCTGGGTTTCCCTTGTGTGTAGATGTGATACATAGGACAACCCAACATAAAAGAGGAAGGCTAAAGGGGCCTCTGGGGTGCTAACATTTCCACATTCCACCTGAAGTCGCAAAACACAGATTCTAAGAACACCGTGAAAAGTCTGCCTACTGTAATCCCAGGGCAACCATTAAAAAACTACACAGAACGATACAGTAAAAACACAACGGATAAATTAAAATGCCAGTACCAAAAAAAGTTTTAAATACTCTAACCCAAAAGAGGGCAGGAGAAAGAAACAGGAACAACAAAGAGAAGGAACACCAGAAAACAAGTAATAAAATGATACAACTAAATTCAACATAGAATTAATTTTAAATGATCTTGGGGTGCCTGGGTGGCTTAGTAAAAGTGTCTGACTCTTGACTTGGGCTCGGGCCCCCATCTCAGGTCATGAGATCAAGTTCTGCGTCCACACTCAGTGTGGAGCCTGCTTGGGATTCCCTCCCCCCTTCTAAGTCCCTCCCCCAAGTGTGGGTGAGCACACAGGCTCTCCCAAAAAATTAAAAAAAAAAGAAAGGTCTTAACATACTAATTAAAAGATAGAGACTGACATAACAGATTTTAAAAAGACAGCTACTGAACTCACTTTGGGTATAATGGTATAAGTAGACTAAACGATGGGAAGACCATTCCAGGCAAGCACGCATCAAAAGAAAGTTGGAGTGGCTATATTAATGTCCGAGTAGACTTCAAAGCCAAGAAAATTGCAAGGCATAAAAAAAGATACTGTATAATGATAAAAGGTAAATTTGTCAAGATGACGTAAGAAACCTAAATATGTACCTAACCAAAGTGCTTTAGATACTTGAAAGCATAAGCTGACAGAAATGAAAGGAGAAATAAAAAATCTACAAATCATCCCTTGAGACTTCAAAACTCTTAATACTCAACAGAGCTAGTGGATGGAAAAGGAACAGGGACACCGAAGAGCCGAGCAACACCACGAACTAGCGTGCCCAAGCGACGTCACAGAACACTCCGCCCAACAGCAGAGTCCATGTTCTTTCCAAGCATGAATGGAACATTCCCCAAAGAGACCGTGCCTGGGCCATGAAACAAACCTTCACGAGCTTCCCTGATATTCGACCATAATGAAACTAAGCCAGAAATAAATCGCAAAAATATAACAGGAATATCTCCAAATACTTGGATATATAACAACACATTTGTTTTTTGTTTTTTTTTTTACTTTCTGCTTTCCACATCAACTATTTTGTAAAATATCAAATTGGACTTAACCCCTAAAATCTGAAGATTGTTTTTATTCTAATTCTACCAGAGTTAATATACAGTGTCACACTGGTTTCAGGCGTCCGATATAGTGATTCAGCACATCCATACATCACCCGGTGCTCAGCCCAAGTGCACGCCTTCATACCATCACCTATTTCACCCATCCCCCACCCCCTCCCCTCTGGAAACAATCAATTTGTTCTCTATAGTTAAGAGTCTGTGTCTCAGTTTGCCCTCCTCTCTTTTTTCCCTTTGCTCATTTGCTTTCTTAATTTCCACATATGACTAAAATCACACAATATTTGTCTTTCCCTGATTGACTTATTTCACTCAGCATTCTACTCTCTAGCTCCAACCATGTCGTTGCAAATGACAAGATTTCATTCACTTTTATGGCTAAAAGTTCCTATGTATGCCACATCTTTATCCATTCATCTATCAGTGGACATTTGGGCTGCTTCCATAAATTTGGCTATTGTTAAATAATGCTGCTATAAACACAGGGGTGTATGTATCCCTTTGAATTAGTGTTTTTCTATTTTTGGGGTAAATACCTAGTAGTGTAACTGCTGGATCGTAGGGTAGTTCTATTTTTAGCTTTCTGAGGAACCTCCATACTGTTTTCCACAGTGGCTGCACCAGTTTGCATTCCCACCAACAGTGTAAGAGGCTTCCTTTCTCTCCACATCCTCACCAACACTTGTTCTCGTGTTGTTGATTTTGGCCATTCTGACAGGTACGAGGTGATATCTCTCTGTGGTTTTGATTTGCATTTCCCCGAGGATGAGTGATGTTGAGCATCTTTTCACGTGTCAGTTGGCCCTCTGGATGTCTTCTTGTGGAGAAAGGTCTATTCATGTCTTCTGCCCTCTTCTTCATTTTAAAAACCTTACACAAATCACCCTTCTCATTCAAATATATAAAATCAAACAAAAATTATATAAATCTTTTCATTTTAACAGAAATGAACAAACTGAAATCGCTTCTAAAGAATCCTGTGTGGATAACGTAAGACATTACTCACTTTGTAAAATAGACTTAAACATGAAAAGCAACTATTTTATTTTTTTTTATTTTAGAGAGTCATGTGAATGGGGGAAGGGGCAGAGGGAGAAGGAGAGAGAGAATCTTAAGTAGGCTCCATGCTGAGCCACTCCACATGTGACTGGATCCCACGACCAGGAAATCATAACCTGAGCCGAGATCAAGAGTCAGACATTTAACCAAATGAGCCACCCAGGAGCCCTGAGAAACAATTATTTTAAGTTATATTCATTTGAATTAACATTATAGAACACATTCAACTTCCGTGGCGCATGGGTGGCTCGGTTGGTTCAGCGTCCGACTCTTGATCTCAGCTCAGGTTATGATCTTATGTTTGTGGGATTGAGCCCTGCGTTGGGCTCCATGCTGACAGTGTGGAGCCTGCTTGGGATTCTCTCTCCCTCTCTCTCCGCCTCTCTCCCAACTTGCACTCTCTTTCTCTCAAAATAAATAAACTTTAAAAAAAAATTCATCTTCATTAAATACTTAAGAAAATTCTGCCCATTTTTAAATTGGATTATTTGTGCTTTGGGTGTTGCCTTGTATCAGTTCTTTATATAATTTGGATACTAACCCTTTTTCAGATATGTCATTTGCAAATATCTTCTCCCATTCAGTGGGTGGCTTTTTAGTTTTGTTGATTGTTTTCTTCTCTGTGCAGAAGCTTTTTATTTTGATGTACTCCCAATAAAACAATACATTTCCAAATAATCTATGGTTCATAAAAAGAAGTCTTGAGGGGAATAAGAAAATATCTGAACTCTGGGTGCCTGGGTGGCTCAGTCAGTTGAGCATCTGACTCTTCACTGTGGCTCAGGTCAAGATCCCAGCATCATGGGATCGAGCCGTGCACTGGGCCGAGTACTGAGCGTGGAGCCTGCTGAAGATTCTCTCTCTCTCTCTCTCTCTGTCTCTCTCCCTCTCTCTCTCTCTCCTTCTGCCCCTCTCCCCTAGTTGTCCTTTCTCTCTCAAATTAAAAAAAAGAAAGAAAATACCTGAACTCAGTGAAAATGAAAATATAACAAAATCTGTAGAATGTAGACAAAGCAATGCTGAAAGGGAAATTTTGCAGCATTAAATGCTTATATTACAAGAAGAATGATCTTGGGGGCACCTGTGTGGCTTAGTCTGTTAAACATCTGACTTTAGCTCATGTCATGATCTCATGGTTCCTGAGTTCGAGCCCCTCATCGGGCTCTGTGCTGACAGCT